TTGTGCGCCAGCTCCATCTTCAGAATCCTTAAAGTCATGCTGCCTGGACCCTCGAGCCATCGTCTGTCACTGTCATGCTTCTTTGTGACTGGAGCAGTCTGCAGGGATGAGGGCAGAAGTTGTCCTCTGCGGTCCTGAGGGTGGTCACTGCACGTCCAGCGTTCCACCCACCACGCCCGCTGTTCTTTCCAAAGGTGTGCTCGCGAGCTGCCCCTTTCTCAGCTCTACAGTGACCGATAGATCACTTCTCAACATTTACTTTTATCTTAGCCTTAATTTTTTTTAACAATACCATCTCTATATAATATAATGTCATGTTACATAATGTAACAATGTAATGTGACACAATCTGGTATATAATGTAACATGAAAGCAATGTACAGTGATGGCAATAATTTAAAAATCAGACAGACAAATTCAGGCAATGGTGTCCAACTCTGAAGAGAGGGTTTCAGGTCCCCTCGTTGCAGATGGAGCTTTCCTAAGTAAATCCATCCTGCAAAATATATTACTTATCCTTACCCGGGAGCCTTATGAAGCTTGCAGTTGCCGAGTACTTCAAGGTCAATTTCATGAGCATGCCCCCAACTAGCGCCGTAGGATTCCATCAGCATCACGGGGAGTCGTGGTGACACGCAGGAGGGTGGAAATGCAGGCACCCGGAGGTGGCCTCAGGTTCAGAAGCACCAGCTCCAGTGTCCGCTTCATCAGGCTGGCTACTTGCACCATGGTTTTCATTTGCCCTGAGACCTGCAAGGACTATGGTTATGGAGACATCTTGTTAGGACTGACAGGGGCATCGGCCAACTTTTTAACTCATAAAAATTCAGAGTAGGCCACATGGTTGAGGAAACAAAATCAACAGGATGAAATGTGCTGAGCCTTCAGTTCCTCAGGAGCACAAAGGAGCAGGTCCACCCAAAGCTGTGTAAAGGGGGCGGGGCTTGGAAGCCATGAAGACGTGGGCCTCATCCAAGGCGGGTGCGGGGCCGGGGGGCAGAAAGTCTCTCTAGCTTTGCTTATGTGTCATGTCCACCAGAGTGACACCAGGGTGTGCTTCCTCTCTGGGTTCCTACGGAGGAGCCTGTGCCCCGCACAGCAGGATGAATTTGTAGGTGTCCCCAACTTCATCTCAGCCCCAGGGGCAGCCAAGGGCCACGCCGGCTGAAGGACACATGAAAGACAGAGCTGGTCCCAGGAGGTACAGATTGCCATACAGAGCACGGCAAACCACGAAACCACGTCACCCTAGCGTCCCCGTTTCAGATGGGCCACAAGTACAGGCTTGATTTAAAGTACCAAAAAAATGTTAATTTGTCCCCAATACCTACGGTTTGTTAGCGAATCTCCGAATAGCCTGGAACACTTTTCTTTTTACATCTGTAGTAGCAAGCCAACTCAGTTCTGTGCTCACCTGGCACATACCTGAGAAAAAGCACCGCGGGGGGCGGGGGGCGGGGTGCAGTGGCTATGGCCTGGCTGCAGCCTCTGCACTGGCCGAGAACTGCCCGGTGGGAGAATGCTGCCCACGTGTTGCTTTCTGATTTCTGTGACTCATTGGCACAGTGACGGTGGAAGGATAAGGGGGTCATCTCTCGGCTTTCTTTTTCGTGCATCTAGGTCTTAGGAGCCGAAACCTCTCGGAAGCCTTTGCTGTCCACGAGGCAGCGTGAACGTGCTCGGCCTCAGAAATGGCGCACCTTCCCTCCATGTCTGTTTCTTTCTTAGTGGAAGGACCCTCCGTAGCTGCTGGTCAAATGGCAGAGCTGTGGTCCCAGCCCTTTCACTCCATCCATGCATCTGGCCCATAAGTGACCAACACCACAGAGAGGGCACTGGTGAGGTCAGAGGGGGTCCTGCCCAGCAAAGCAGAAGAGGCACGGACCTGGGGACCCCCCAGTCACCTTCGGAGAGCTGGTCTCGCCGGCTTGTTTCATACCTGATGGCATCGCCTGGTGTGAGGACTGTCGTTTGGCGTCTTTCACGTGTCCCTGCACTGGTCCATGGAGACCAGGCGTGGTCAGTTACACAGTTAGTTGTCCGCAGTGATACATTCTGTCCTGGAGTGAACACAGTTGTTTCCTGTTTCCTGCCACCCTGGAGCCGACATCTGCTTGTGTTTTGCCAACGTTTGCCCATGGAGTCAATCTTACAAAACACATTTGTGGACACATTTTCCCAAACTGGTGTGTTTAATCTGCGTTACATTACGTTCTGTGTCAGGGCTGCAGTCTTGGTTCCTGTCTCTATGCTGTTAGACATAATGAGACTATTTAGATATCGTGTTGACTTAGGCTCCTGGCCCTTTTCCTCTGTTTCACGCAATCTCTAAATTTTGTGTTTGCCTTTGAACGTTGTGGTCTTTTTGGATGGCCAGGTTGTAGATGTAACAGCTGCTCATGTTTCCTGTCATCTCCTCCATGGCCTTTATGAAAGAGAGTCCTACCCAGACGTCAGATAGGAATTCATCTTTGTTACCATCTTTATGGCTTGATTCTCCTCAACACTTAACTCTAGTAGATCTGGAGTGTATTTTTCATGTCAAGTGTAGGGAGGAACTAAATATTTATTTTTCCACTATAACTGGAAAGCCCCTTGGAAATTTGAATGTAAGATCTTCTCCTGATTGTTCCACCAGGCTCTTATGGCCTTTGGTTTCCCTAACCCTAACCCTAACCCACAGCACAATATTGGCCATTCTAACTACTTGTGAGTGGCACTGACATTCTCAGTATTGTGTGGCCTTCACTGCTATCTATCCCTCAAACTTTCCATCACCCCAAACAACCTCTGTCCCCATTACACGCCAACGCCTCACTCCCCTGTCCCACCCCTGGTGCTACCGTTCCACTTTCTGTCTCTATGAATGTGACAACTTCAGGTCCCTCATGGCAGTGGACTCACATATTATTTGTGTTTTGCGTCTGGCTTATTTCATTGAGCTTCATCCACATTGTCGCAGGTGTCAGGATTTTCTTCCTTTTCTAGGGTGAGGGATGCCCCACTGTATGGATGGAGTACATGTTGTTTATCCAGTTGTCCGTCCAGGGACACTGGGGTGCTTCCCCCTTTCCACTGTTGTGAATAATGCTGCTGTGAAGACAGGACTACAGGTGTCTGTTAGCGTCCCTGTTTTGACTCGTTTGAGTGCACACCTAAGAGTGGAATTGCTGGGGCGTGTAGTGGTACTATGTTTACGCGTACCTTTTCTCTCTCTTTTTAAATAGCAGGAGAGATTGCTTTTAATTGGAGAACAGTTAGGAGCAAAATAATTCTTGGGGGCATCTGTTGTTCACTGCTTGAAATAAAATGTATACTTCTTCATATTCTAAAATTCAAGGTATTAATTAACGTACTGTTTCACTGTGAATTTAAAACAGTAAAACTAATGAAAAGTCACTGAGAAAAAGTCTAATTGCAACTATTTTTAATGAAACTGTGTTACCTTTGTTATTTTAAATGAACATATCCACTTGTTTGGAAAGACTGTTCCTCAGTAGCCTGAGGAAACAGAGAAACCAGCTCTTAAAACCCTAATGGTCCCTGCGTCATGTGGATATGGCCCTGGGTATACCAGTTTGTCTGTGGGAACCTTGGAGTTGTCCTTGTTCTCAAGTGGTGGTCTTTGTTTGCTTGTTTTTGCCTCAAAACTAATTCCATCTGTTTTCCCAGATGGCTAAACTTTGGACAATGTCAGCACTAAAAAAGAATAATATTATAATTCATTATAACAAAGTAAAATTTTTTCAAAATCCATACTCCATAGTTATTCTCAGGGAGAGAGGGAGTAAAAGCTTGCTCTTGATTGCCAGTTCCCAGAAACGAGGAAATTGCCAGTTTGTAACCCTAAGTGATTCAAGCAAGGAGATAGATAGATAGATAGATAGATAGATAATAGATAGATGATAGATAGATAGATAGATAGACAGATAGATAGATAATAGATGATAGATAGATGGATGATAGGTAGATAGATAGATAATGATAGATGGTAGGTAGATAGATGATAGATAGATAGATGATAGATAGATGCTGTCACCATTGGATGATGGGTTGTTAGGGAACCCACAAGCCATTCGATACCAAAACATCACCCCACGGGTGACTCATTATTTACAAAGGGACGAGTAGCTCTTTGAAGTGAGAGACTGATGACCTGCCACCTTCATCATGTCACTGAATTTGTCATCACATAGAGTAACACAGTATCACCCGTCATCTGCTCCATCTAAGGCGACAGCATCACCCGGGAGGTATCTATCAAAAGTGTTTAGCCTCAGTTTCATAAAGCTCTCAGGCCTGTGCTCAGTTTGCAAGAAACATAGGCGTCCGAGGGACCAGTTAATCTATCAAACCCAGAATGAGAAAGAACCTACAGGAAGCGGGCCTGGGCTTACCAAGAAGCCCACCAAAAAGGCTGGGGGAAGAACGGTGTGGGGCTATTTCTAAAAGTAAAAAGAACACGGAAATATAACAACCCAATATCATGTGTGAACCTTGACTGGATCCTAGGTTGGAAAAAAAATCAGCTCTAAATGACGTGGGGGTGGGTTTGAATTTGGGTTGGATATTAGATGGCATTATGGAATGACAGCTAATTTTCTTAGGTGTGACGGTCGTGTTAGTTGTGTAAGAAGTTGTCCTTATTCTCAGGAGGTGCTACACGGCAGTGCACCTGAGGGTCAGGTGTCATGGTGTTGACCATTTATTGTCAGGTTTTTAGCTAAAGCATGTGTGTGTGTGTGTGTGTGTGTGTGTGTGTGTGTGTGTGTGTGTGTGCAGAGAGAGAGAGCGCGCACAGATGTATCAGAATGTGAGCAATTATTGAATCTAGTGGAGGGTTTCAGTGTAATCATTACTCTCGTATTTCAACTTTTGTGCATGTCTGAAAATTTTTGTAACAGAATGTTGGAGGAAATGGTTTACATCAGTGTTTTATATTCTGTGTTCATCAGAACCCTAATTCCTGCCTCCTGAGCACCTGTTTTTCTGTTTTGCAGTTCGGGACCGAGTCAGATCGAAGATGGAGAGAGACATTTTGGCAGAAGTGAATCACCCTTTCATCGTAAAGCTTCATTATGGTAAATACAGTAAAAATAAATCAAATAAAATAACCTGCTTTTGAGAGGACCTAGGGCAACTTTCCCCAAATCAGAGGACATTAAAAAATCATGATAGGTCAGAGGGAGACCCTCCTGGATCACATTGTCCGGCCCTGTCTGGGCGAGTTACCCTCTCTCCCCGATTCCTTAATCTCTCTGCATTTTTCTACTCTCAAAGAGCAAGATGCCTTGTCTTTGTCTCAAAGACACATTACTATTCATTAAATTATTGTTATTGATTAAGTGATGTAAACAAGTCTGTTGACCTAGATTGGGGTGAATCTATGACATTTTCTTGTGTTGTTTCAAAATAAAATGCTTTGTGACCCAGTAGTTTATTTAAAGCAGAAATGGTGGCCCCTCCTGCATGTTAAGTGAATACTGTATTTCAAGCACTTTAAAGATGGTAGCTATTGAACCTTCAAAACTTCCAAGTACTGTTTACCTTTCTCAGAAGAGCAAACTGTGGCTCAGATCAAACAGTCTGCCCAGAACCACACATCTGGGGGCCACACAACTTCGCTCAGTTTCCTTTCTGCCTTTTATCTCCTCAGAGAAGCAATAAGTGTAAAAATGGATAAAATGGGGACTGCGGAGTCGTGCCTGCCGTGTTAAAGTTTACCGCCTGGCTTGAGTAACTAACGAGTCACGTACAGAAAAGAACAAAAGTGGCACCTTGTTGGTTTGAAAGGCCCCGGGGAGGCTGAGTTGAGGGACACTGCTGCTGCTCTGTGCTGGTGAATTTCTGATTTTACTAAGAAAACAGTTCATTCCTGTTTGGAAATTCTGTGGCTTTTCCTTTAAGTAGTAATACGAGTGGATACGGGTGTGGACTTGCTGGAAGCCATGCGTGGCTGTGGGCAGATCCAACACCATGTGCCATTGCAGCTGGAATCCAGGGTGTTTTGCTGAAGAAGTTAAGAGCTGGGTGTCTTATAAAGATTTTTAAACGCATCCTCTGTGTTACCTCTGGCTGATCAAATGATTCGTGTTCTCTGTTTGCCCGTCAGGCCCTTGAATAGAGCATTGCATCCACGCTCCAGGTTATACAGTTCTGACCAAGGGTTTTCTAGTTAGAGGCTCTGTGTCTAATATCCACCATCTACAGTGCTCTTAGCATTTACTTTTAGAAATCAGGAAGCTTTGAGGTGTGCCAAGATCAGGACCCTTCCCGCTGTGCTTCCTGTAAAATAGATGACGAGTGACACCGCATCAGTCCCACTGAACTGGCCGGCCACGCAGCAGTGATGGTCCTGGTCTCCCTTGACCCTCATGTGGCATTCGGTCCCCTTTGACTGAGGCACGCCTGGCTAAGTAGTGGGCGAGAGCTTTCTGTGCTGCCTGTGGTCTGAAGCCTAAACAGTAAGCCCATAATTGTGGCACTGTCGTCAAACCTAGAACACGAGCCCCACTACCATGTCCAGGAGCCAGGCCAACTGGTTACCAGCACTGCCAGAAAAGGGGGACTCGAAGGATGGGTGCCCTTGAACCCCAAGTTGTAGGAATGCACTTGGATAGGAAGCAAAGGGGATTCCACCAACCACAGCCAGAGCCGTCGCCCTGCTCCGCCAAACACCTTCTAGCAAAAGTATCTCTGCTGACACCTGTTTGTCCCCAAAGCCCGACACTGATCATCGTGATAATGACAGCAAGTTGGAACCTACAAATACTTTTCTCCCTGTGCATTTCAATCCCCTTTATGTTAAAAAAGTAAGGAGTGGGGGAAGGAAGACAGAAAGGGAAGAGAGAGAAATGAGAAAAAAACATCTCAAGACGCATAATAAAAGTGACAGAGGCAGACAGAACTCATTAATATTGGCTCCCCGTCCCTAAGTTCTGCCCCTGGCAAGCTGTCTGCAACTGGTTCCAGCCCCGTTTCTGAAATGACTACACAGTATTGCTTGAGTCAAAGCCCCTGAGCCTGAGAGAACGATGTCCACTCCAAGGACTTTGAGGACC